GACAGCTCTTCCCTGAATGTTTGGTAGAATTCACCTGTGAAGCCATCTGGGCCTGGACTTTTTTTGGTTGGGAGTCTTTTGATGACAAGACGCAGACTTTCTGAGCCAAAAAAAGCTATATTCTTATATTGTCCAGCTTGTTTGTACCAGTTAATGCAAAACTTGCCAGATGAACCTTGTGTTTCAGTTTTTTTCTCTTCCCCTCCCCTTGTTTCAGACCTGATGACGTCAAAGTATTTTGAAGAAGTGTCTACCTCTGAAAATATCCTTCTAGGAAATTTAGACACTTGAGAAATGATTCTATCTGAAGAAAACAGAGGGAGAAACAGAAGTCTTAAGTCTGTGGCACAGTGTGTCTTCAGACAGTTTGGAGGAATGAAAACCTTGAGATTTTTAAATCACAAATCGAACATGTAAAATTCCAGTAAACTATAAAAATGGAATAAGCATCATTCTTGCCCTTGAACATAGTGACTTAGAGATACTGTATATTAGTTTTGCAAATAAGACTGTGGACTTGATTTGTTGTTGAACTTCTGGGTCAAAACTTAGATGAAGTGATTTTGCCTTTAAAGGGTTGCTTTGTTAAGAACCAGCTTTTAATTGTCATGAGAGACCCAACTGATAGATGTCAGTACAAGTAGTTCAAATACTTAAACATTTTGTATGGGGCTCTGTTACTTTACTGAGCCTTAACTCCATGGTTTTTATCAATGGCGTGTTCTTCAGCTGGTGTTAATACAACAGTCAATCTTACTGAAGACTGCACACACATGGAGGTGTGGTTATCAAATCCAGGTTTGAATGGTTTTAAGCATTATAAGCATCCATTCCACAACTAGATTGTATATGGGTATTAGCTGTGATGGGACGTCTGCGTTGTTTTTTTCTCAATAGTGCAATTGATTAAATCCCCATTCCATTTAAGCAGTACTTGTTAAGAGAGCATTGTGGTGGCAGAAATGTGAGGATGTCCTCCTTCATTGTATTTGGGCCTTTTTGGTATTGTACCCATGATATTAAATGTGCCCTGAAATAGGACAAAAGAAAAAGAAAAGGAAAAGAAATAGGTTTTATCCCAGTAGCAGAATAATTTTGGATAAACAAATACAAATTTCTTTGCTACTGTGATAAGCAACTGAGTTTCCCTTCTGAATGAGTTTGGGGTGTTGGTAGGTTTACTGTTACACTATAATATCATACAAAGAGAAGGGAAGATTAGATAGTTATCTTTAAGTAATTAAAATAATGAATATGTGGTTATAAACAATAATCTCTTATAGGTGTCTTCAGAAGATATATCCTTCACAACTCCCATCTCTCAGCGTCATTCTCATATTCATGAATGAAGCGCTGTCAGTTATACAACGGGCTATCATCAGTATCATCAACCGGACTCCCTCCCAAGTGCTGAAGGAGATCATCTTGGTGGATGATTGTAGCTCAAATGGTGAGAAACTTGATTTAGGAATAATAGTAAGATTCCATTTATAAACTGAGTCGGGTTGATAACCTCAGGGTCAGCAGTTCGAATCTACCAGCTGTTCCGTGAGAGAAAGATGAGGCTATCTGCTCCCGGAAAGATTTACAGCCTTGGAAACCCTATGCAGGGACGCTATGAGTGGGAACCGATTCCATGGCACACCACCACCACCGCCAGTCTAGAAAGGGATTTGAGCTCAGGATTTAGGACACTTTAGGTTAGTCCTGGTGTAACACTGTAGTATAATCACTGGACTGTTGACCATAAGGTTAGCAGTTCATGCCCACTAGCCGATCCTTGGAAACCCTGTACAGGGTCACTATAAGATTCCACTGACTCCACGGCACTAAGCAACAAACAAATAAGCAACAGGTTACTCATGTAGGAAGAGAAAGGTTTATTAAGGGTCTATTTGTTTGTCAAACAAATCCTCACAAGAATATAGACAGTGAATCATTATTTCAATTCCACAATAGGGCATAGAGAAGTACGATCACAGGGCTTATAAAGTAAGAGCCTAAGGACATGAACTCAGAAAGTATGAGGCATGGTCCACTCTTTCCCACTCTCTTAAGTGTCCTCCTTGGGTGACCTACACAAGAGGGGGCTCTCTGGGCTTAATTACCTAGGAAGATTGGTCTTTGCCTCATAGAGAATGTTTCTAAGTCTTTCCTTGGAGTCTGGTGTCTTCCTTAGGGGCCCGTTTCACACCTCCCTTTCCCCTACTGCCCCAGGTCTCATGGTGCATCGGAAGGATGACTTTGGACTCACGCAGTCCTGGGTCTGACTCCCAACTCCACCACTGACTCACCAAGCAACTTGGGCCTACCTTGTGATCGACCTGTGTTTTTCCTCTTCAGTGGAATTGAAATAATGACTCATTTTTCTATATTTTTGTGAGAATTTGTCAGGCATTGCACTGTGAAAAGAAGGTTAGAGATTTTAGGAGCTTATTTAGAAAAAACTCTGTACTGAATATCTGAAGTCAGCTTGGCCCTACTCCCTAGCTCTGTGAGATGACATCAGACAAGATGTTTCACCTCGCTGAGTCTCACCTTCTTCTTGGGGGAAGGTGAAAGACCTCTGAGGATATATATATATATGTGTTGCTGTTGTTAAGGCCTATCAAGTCTGTTCTGTCTCATAGTGATCCTGTATAGTGTTTCTGAGGCTGTAAATCTTTGCAGGAGCAGAAAGTCTAATCTTTTTCTCATGGATCAATTGGTAGATTTAAACTGCTGACCTTGTGATTAGCAGCCAGCTCATGATCCATTACTCTACATAGAAGAAAGAACTATTAATCAGACTTTGATGAGTGCCACTAGGAAGCACAAGCTAGATCAGACCCACATTGTTGTTAAGTGCTCTCAAGTCCGTTTAGACTCATAGAGACCCGATACAGGGTTTTCAAGGAATAACTGGTGGGTTTTAACAACTGACCTTGCAATTAGCAGTCCAGTGCTTATCCTATAACACCATACCAGGACTCCTGAGCCCACATGTTGTTGTTGTTAAGTGTCGTCAAGTCAGGTCTGACTCATAGCGTCCCTGTATAGGGTTTCCAAGGAATGGCTGGTGCGTTTGAACTGCCGACCTTGCAGCGCCTTGTAGTTCAAAAATCTGCTTTCTGCTAAACAGAGGGAAATAACTACAAGTCTCTACCATGCATGCTATGAGAAACTTAATGTGTGACATTGGTGGCCAGTCACTCAACCACTCCATATCTCATTTCTTCATCTGTAACGTGTGAAAAATAATAGTACCTAACCACAGGGTCATTCCAAGGATAAAATAATGCATGCAAAGTCCTCACCATGGAGCTCAGCTTTCAATAAAGATTAGCTAGCATTCCTAATCCTTGTTTACCTAGGTGTCCTTTTTAATGCCACATCCTGCTATTGTTGTAATGATTTGTTTTCCTTTCTTTTCTTGGATATAAAGCTTCCTTATCAGATAGCTCAAATGTTTCCAGAAGTAACAAACCTAATCTAAACATTTCAAAACTCATATTACTATTAGGGACCAGTCGCTGGAGAAGGATATCATGTTTGGTAAGGTGGAGGGTCAGAGAAAAAGAGGAAGACCCCCAACGAGATGGATTGGCCAAGTGGCAGCATCGATGGACTCAAGCGTGGCAACAGTAGTGAGGTTGGCCCAGGATTGTTTCGGCAGTGTTTAATTCTGCTGTGCATAAGGTCGCTATGAGTCAGTACCGACTTGATGGCACCTAACAACAACAATTACTATAAGTTATATCTTGTGTCCCCTCTCCCCGGCTCCCCAGTTTTAGGCAACTAATTCTCAACAACTGTCGATTGAGTTTTTACCTTGTATCAGGCACTGCACTATGAAGAGGAGGTCAGAGATTTTAGGAGTTCCATTGTAACTGATACAGCAAGACATACCTATGGAAAGACAACTTAGTGTATAAAGAATGATGTATAAATTTGAATGAGCTGTCAGTAAATGCAAGGACCTAGAGAGGAGGCTTGGTTGACCTAAGGATGCTTCTTGAAAAGGAAGGTTTGAGTTGGGACTTGAAGGCTTGGTAGGATTTAGAAAGGCAGAAATTAGAAAGGAAGACTTTCACGGGAACTTTGATTGAGTATGGAGAGAAAATTACTGTGAGCAAAGATGCAGAAGCCAGAAGCATCTTGAGCTGACCAGGCTACAATTACGAATTTGGGGACCAATGTAGGGGCAAGACTAGGAAGGAGACTATGTTGACTTTAGAAGATGTCATCATCATTGAAGGGTCTTTAGTTATTGTGCTGGGCTGTTGTTATTACTGAATGCCTTCCAGTCAATTTTGACTCACAGAGATCCCTCATGACACAGCCAAACTGTCCCTGTAGAGCTTTTGGCTGTAATCTTCAAGGAAGCAGAGCACCAGATCTTTCTCCTACACAGCTGCTGGGTGGATTAAAAGAGCCAACTTTTTGGTTAATAGCTGAGCACTTAACCGTTGTACCATCAGAGCATCTTTGAGTTGGACTACAAGCATTATTCTGAAGACCCACTGGAATTTGGTATTGGAAGAGTCTAATGGATAGATAATCCTTCTGTCTAGGTTAAGGAAACAGAGACATACCCTATGCACTAAATGGGAAGTAACACCAAATTAGGTAATGTTAGAGGTCAAATTAGAATCCAGATAGCCAGAATCTATGGCACTCTCTACTGATTGTCTCTTAAAAGCACGGCCTTTGTAGGTGCAGGAATTTACCACCTTGATTTCTCCAACCTCCCACTAGTCTCAGCCTTCAGACTCTGTAACTGTGAAATAATTGAATCAATAATTGAGTCAGTTACCCTGAGTGCAGCTGAGGTAGTTCTAAAATGGTGCAATTTTCAGTGCCATAGTCACTGATTGATTCTAGGTCCTGAGCTCTCCAGGCCTCACAAATCTACTCTTCTTTTGAGAGAGAAATTAGCAAGAATCTCATCCCTTGACTGTTAAAAGAGGAAAGAAGAACTAGATAAATTCAATCAGGCAAGTTTATAGTTTTTATTTGATCAGCTATTACACATTTTTATTATCGCTCCACATATTTTAAGAACATTTATTATCCATCGTTTATTAAGGAATATAAAGCTTCATTTTTATTTGCAATTTTGCATGAAGTAAGCTTAGTTGATGATATTCATGAGGTGAGTAAAAGGTTGGTGAGGAAGAACAAAAATCAAGCCAGTCACCATTGAGACCGTTTGGATTCACGGTGACCGTACGTGTGTGTCAGAGTAGAGCTGTGCTCCATCGGAATTTCATTGGCAGATTTTTCAGAAACAAGTCACCAGGCCATTCTCCATAGTTCCTCTGGGTGGATTCAAACCATCAGTCTTTTGGTTACAGCCCAGCCCATGAACATTTGTACCACCCAGAGGCTTCCATGGTACTGAGAGAGGATGGGAAATGAAATGAAATTCATTATATTGTATTGATGGAAAACACAGATCATAATGCTACTGATTTCTTTTGGGAATAATATCATGAAAATTTCAAAATTACTGAAGGGAATTTAAGAAAAATTAATTGGTTACCTGATTAATTTTTTAATACAAGTTCTGGTGGCTGTTGGGGGCAGGGAGGGTGAAAGCATTAGCTGTTAAAACTATGTTCCAGGGAAATCGTGGGCAAAAACTTTACAGGAGCCGTGAAGTTGGCTTCCTCTTCACCCTTCTAGAAAGTACACCAAATTTTATTCTTAAAGCTTTAGTAAAAATCTCTTGACTTTTATAGTCGATGACAGGTAGGACACCAACAAAGATATTGCTTCTGTCTATTTAATGCTATTTTTCAATGAAAATCCAATTTCCTCCTGCATTTTTCTCAATCACTGAGATCATCTGTCTCAAATATTGTGCTCCCAAGCTAACAGCTCAGAGGAATATGAGTGTAATCCATACAAGGTACATCTGTGTTCTCATTACCAACATTTTCTACTAAGGTTAGCTGGTTTGGTCACTGTGAGATAAAGGCTGTTTCCCCTGCCTAGCTGAAATACAGACCACATGATTACAGTGGGGTGGTGTAAACGGTTAACCCACTCAGCTGCTAATCAAAATGTTGGCGGTTTGAGTCCACCCAGAGATGGCTCAGAATGAAACCCTGGCTATCTACCTCTGAAAAATCAGCCACTGAAAACCCTGTTGAACACAGACATACATGGAGCTCCATGAACCTAAATCTGAAAACTAACTGGTGTTAGTTTTTTTTTTTAATGTTTTATTTTGAATTATGTGATAGTTTACATGGGAGAACATTAGTTTTACATTCATCCTATCGTATATCATTTCATTGCCATAGTTATAATCCCCGCCATGCATCATCAACCAGCCAAAGGGTATACCCTGTAAGCCTGTCCCCGGGTCATCAGCACACAGCCTCTCTCCCTCTCTGGGTCTAGAGTCCTCAGCTGCTCCATCTCTCCACGTCATTGTCTCTGCCTCCATCTCCGGCATCACTTTCTCTGGGTAGGGCCCCACTCTCCGCTCTTCTCCCTTGATGGTCCTAGGGACCTCTGTTCCTAGACTGCAAAGTTAATCACTTCCCTCCATGCTACAAAACATCTACCTTTACATTTCCAACCCTCACAATCAGTCCTGATAACAATTATTCACTATTGTATCACAAGAGACCTATCTGCAATTCCTTTCATCAGCTCCGCCTAGACAGATTGGATACTACTCAGTGGAGATTCTACCTTCCTCCATGCCTTATGGATCTAGGTTCCCTCTTGAAAGCTTGTAAGCCAGTCACTTTGTAGCCCCCCAGCCCCCATTTTGGGTAGCCAGTGTCCAAGTTGCCCATCCCTGTCTAGTCTGTGTATGGTGGGGGTGGGAATGATCCTTGCTTTAAAGATTTGTTCCCTCTTTTGAGCTACTGCATCCATAGGTGTAGGTCAAGTTCATCAAATTGTATCAGATTCCTCTTTTTTTCCTCTTCTTTCTTCTTCTGGTTGAGCTTTGATCATCCAGTCATTGAAGCCAGGTCAAGTGAGTATTATCTGCAAGTGTGGGTGTTCTTGTGCATATGCTCTCTCTTCGTATCAGTTGGATGCTTCACTCTCCACTCTAGTCCTCTGTGGCTATGTCACTGACTCTGGGCCAAGAGTCCCCAGGTCTTGCCACACTGCTGGTCAACCAGGTCTCCACCCTGGTTCTCAGGAGTCTATTGAACGTTGTAGAGCTTAGCTTGCAGCTTCATTGCTGTTTTTCTTTCACTTCCACTTATCGGTGACGAACGTGGTCACCAATCAGAGCATATTGTTGTTGTTGTTGTCAGGTGCCATCGAGTCGGAACCGACTCATAGCGACCCCATGCACAGCAGAAACGAAACAATGCTCGATCCTGGGCCAACCTCAATCAGAGCATATATTCCCATTGAATCTTAGTCTTGGAAGGGGTTTGCTATGAGGGGACCCAACCACTTGCCTTGATGTCTTCTGGGTGAGCAACTTGCTTGTTCTTCTAGTAATCAGTTGGTCTGCCTATATTGTTTTGTATTTTTCCTGTCGGTCTTTCTTTCAAGAAGTATCTTCTGTTCTTCTAGCC